CCCCCCCCCCCCCGCAACCCGTCCGAGTCCCACCCGTCTGACTGCACAGGAACCACGTCCTACCTGTTTTCTTGCCGGCGGTAGTCCTGCTGCTCCAGTCTCAGCATCGGCTTCACTGTCCCGCGCTCGGCCGTGCTGGGGGCAGGCAGTGCCCTGTCGCTGTCCAGCCTGGTGGCGCTCTAAGCCGAGAGAAAACACGGAGCGTTTACAGACAGCGTGCAAGCCAGCCACGCTCACACAGACTGCTGCAGGGGGATAGCTGATGCCAGGCTGCCCGGCAGGGGGAGGCGAGACAGAGATGCCGGAGAAGAGCAGAGAGCAGAAAAGGGCACGGCCGTGCTGAGGACGTCAGGTGCACAGACGCACGCCCAAGAACACGGTCACTGAAAGAACAAACCACACAGCTGCTTTCCTGTTCAAAGAGCTAAAGGCAGGCTCTAACACATAGGCGTGCAGAGGTGGTGCGTGTAAACGGGGCTCTTCAAAACGGGCAGGGACGGGAGCGACTCCTCCCAAACACTCTCTCAAATCAGAACAGAGCTGAGTGTGTGTCCACTCTGAAAAGTTAGGGTCCTTCTTTTACTTGTAAGGAAAGGATTTAAAAATCTGCTCATGACAGCTCAACACCCAATGAAGAACTTAGGACAGAGGCTGGTTTGGTTCTTGCCCTTCATCAGGAGAGAAAGAACACAATACAGGGGCCCGATACAGTACACTTCAGTCCTTCCAAGGAGGGCACATCCCTAACCACCCTGTGGCAGAGGGAAAAGCTACCCGGGTTATTAAGCAAACAACAGGAACAGGATCATTCTACTTATACAAAGAAATTCACCGTAGCAAAAATGTTATGTGAGATTTCTCACTACATCTGTTTATTGTAGAAATTGAGCTTGACAACAGAAGCCATTCTTATCAACTAGAGAGTAACTCTGGGCTGTATCTTTACAGTTTTTCATATTTTCCATAAAGGAGGTTATACAACCCCCTTCATAAAAAATACTCCTTTTCATGTGTTGTAAACATCGGATGGTATTTTTATGTCACAGAACTGTAACGGCCGCATAACAGCTGTCTGTTTACCAAAGTTCACTGAACTAATCCTTTGTTAGGCTGTTTAAAATGTTCACCAGTCCAGGGTGTCCTGGCAATCACGTTTGTAAATACATGTATTCATACACAATAAATACTTTCATAAAATACACTTATAAAAATAAAATTCCTTGGCCAGGATGGCAGCACAGACTACAAAAAACTGTTATAAATGGATAAGGAGGCAATGGGTAAGTAAATTATGGTACGTTTATAAGCTAACATACTATAAAACAATTTTAAGCTTGTTTTCAAATAAAAGGCTTACAAAATAATAGCCAAAGGAAGGACAGAAAGGTGCAGATGTGTGCAGATACTTATTTTTTTTCATTCTATTTTTAATGTTTATTTTTGGGAAAGAGAGTGCGAGCGGGGCAGGGGCAGAGACAGAGAGGGAGACACGGAATCCGAAGCAGGCTCCAGGCTCTGAGCAGTCAGACAGAGCCCGACACGGGGCTCGAACCCACGAACCGTAAGATCATGACCCGAGCCGAAGTCGGACACTTAACTGACGGAGCCCCCCAGGCGCCCCTCATTATTTTTAAATGTATAAATGAATACATCTACAACAGAAAGAGATCACAAGAGGATCCATGAAAATGTCATCAACAGTCAACTATTAACTGCAGATGAATGATTTTCATTTTTTTCCTCATTTTGCTGAGTTTTCTGTTTCGAGCATACATTTTTATAAGAAACTAAGCTTTTTATGAAGACAGCTGCATCTGGTTCTGAGCGTACCTGCTCGCGTACTTCTCCGAGGGGTCTCTGCTGCAGCTCCAGAGCCCCAGGCACCTTCTCACCACGAGAAGAGCAGCAGTGAACATACCGAGTGGGACCCTTACCTCCACCAAGTCAACGAACAAGGCCAGCATCAGCTGGCACAGAGAATTTAAAATAAGGCGCTGTAACTAAGAACTGTGAACCAAGCATGAACTATGCTCGGACGCTCAAGAAGGTTTCGAGGAGGAATGAGCAGAAAGGAGGCGGCTGCACGAAAACCAGCAGGAAGGACAGTCGAGGAAGAACAAACTGGCCCCAGTGCCCGGATGGGAAGGAGGCGCGTGTTCTGTGCACAGGCCAGGTCGAGAGGGCAGGTGGCCGGGGCCGAAGGGGCCGTGTGAGCCAGAGGGAAGTGTGTGACATTTGGGACGAGAAGCCACCGGGGGCTCGGAAAGCCGGGCGGTAACGGGCTCTAAGTCATATGTTCAGAACACGAGCCTGGCCGTGGGGAGAAGAGGGACAAGCCAGGGCAGCAGCAGAAAGGCCAACTCAGAGGCCATGCAGCACTTCTGCCGTGTGACAACTGCAGCCAGCGTCACACCACAGAAGCAGTGGTGGGGAGAGGCAGGTACCTGCGGACTACTTCGGTCCAACGCAAACGGGACACGCCGACACTGAGGGCTGAGAAGGAAGCAAGGACAAGCAGTGACGGGCTTCTGCTGCAACGACACCACGGACGAGGGCACCACTTACTGACGGCGAAGGACGAGGGGGCTTAAGAGAGCCCAGCCCTGCTCTAGCCGTGGTGAGTGCGAAACACGTGTCCGACATCACCATGGCCACGTCGAGCAAGCTTCCGGAGTCCGGAGAGGCCGGGGCCAAGGATACAGTCAAGGGTAACGAACATATCCGTGTATTTTAACTACCAACTGCCTAAGATCACCTAGGGAACAAGTACAGACAGGAGAGAAGGGGCCTTGGGTCTGAAACCGAGTTTTGAGGCCAAGTGGAGGGGACGGGGAAGCAGGAGGCATGGGCAGATGAGCCAGAGGAGGACTGAGCACCGATGGGGGAGAAACCAGGAGAACGACACCCTGGGGGCCGAAGTCAGGCAGCGCCCCCAGTATGCAGTAGGGGCCCAGTTCAGACAGAGGAGACACAGGCCACGGACTCGGCCGTGCGGAGGCCATCAGAGACCGGGACGCACACAGTCCCTCCGACAGCAGGAGCCAATGGGAGCCGAGGGGAGAAGACGGAGTAACAGAGAGCGGACCGCAGAGTATTTCCTCAAGAAATCGTGCTGGCAAGAGAAGCAGAAAGCTGGGCAAGGGCTGGAGCGCACGGTACAGTCGTTAGAACAGGAGACAGAGCAGCGTGTCCGCATGGCGGCTGCTGTGCCGTGGCCTCAACGAACGAACCACAGCCTCGGCGGCCCCTTCCGGAAGGCGAAGGAGGCGGGTGCTGTGTGCCACCCCAGGCCCAAGCCTGAGCAGGCCGGTCGATTCCACGATTCTCGTGAGACACCCAAACATCTGGCCACCCCTGTGGAGAGACGAGCAAGCTGTCCCAGGGAGAAAACAGGAGAACACGTGGAGAGGGGGGCCCGGCCACCTGCGTCCCGGCACAGCCGGGCCACCTCATCGCCCACTAGCAGCCGAATGCAGCAACTCGAGTAACCAACCCCCAGCAAGACCGGCCAGCGAACAGCCCGGGTGAGTCCAAACCACACGGTACAGCTGCGCGCCAAGTAAAACGGGTGCTGCGCGTCCCTGGTCAATTAGGTTGGGGTGGTTTGTTACTGAGCGATACAGACAACCAGCACGAGGACACAAATCCCCCCATCACGCGGAGATACGGGACAACTGTGGGGGCCAGGTCCCCGAGAAGGTAAGCTGGCAGCGAGAGGAGAGGGGAAGTCCACGGTCTCCAGCGGTCGCCTGACGGAGAAGGGCTGGTTCTACGGGGGAGAAGCCTGGGCCCCCCTGCTCGGAGGACTCGGCCCGGCTCGCCACCCGCGGCCTTTGGTGTGGCGCCAGGAGACAGCACGGATCAGGACAGCAAGCCACGGTCCGAAGCCACGGTGAAGTCGGCTTTCGCAAGAGCTCCAGGAGCATACTCCCGACACTTTGGCCACGGGGTCCAGAATGTTCCAGAATGCTACACAAACTCCCTGCTACAGGCAACGTAAAGTACCCACCTTGCTCGCTGGCAGCGCTGCCCCGCTGTGAACATCTCCCCCCAAATCGAAAGTTGTCTCCTGAACAATTCTGCCAGGGTAAAAAAAGAAAGACACTGAATTAACAATTCTCAAATGAAAAGGCATCGTTTTTCTTAACACAAAAGGAACGGCTAAATATCCCAACTCAAAGATCAAGACGCCACTTTATTTTCAACATATAAAGTCACAGAATGAAAACGCTGTTAAAACTTTATGAACTTTTCCTACTGCTCTATACTGAATACTCTCAGGATGCTTTTAAAACTATATTTTAATAACAATAAATTGGAAAGAACTGTCCAAGAAACAAGCAAGCCGCTTCATCACACAATGGCACATAAATGAAGTGCCCAGTCTGTGGCGCCACGAGCCCGTCTGTCAACACAGGGAAAGCGACACTGACCTCAGGAGAATACGGCACAGGCACTAAACTGCCTTCCTCTGAAAGCCAATCTGATGAGAGCTGAAAAGCTCACGGATACCACCACTTGGGCCACGATACAGAAATGGGGAGGCACCTGGGTGGTTCAGTCGGTCAGGTGTCCAACTCTTGACTGTGGCTCAGGTCACAGTTCACGGTACTGAGAGCCCCACTGCAGGCTCCGTGCCGACAGCGTGAAGCCTCTCTCTCTGCCCCTCCCCTCATGTGCTCAAGCTCTCTCTCTCAAAATAAATACACGTTTAAAAAAAAATTTTTAAGTCCTACTCAATAATGAGGGTAAATACAATCCATTAATCCCAGCCCAAGAGAGAGGCCCAATAAAAGGAAAACAAAGAGCCCTAAAAATATCTGGAAACCGACAAGATGGGTTAGTGCCTACATTTCCGGGACTTCTGCACAAGACAGTCAAAGAGAATGATAACCTCTTTTGTTACAGTATTTGAAAGACAAGGGTCTAGTTTCACAGCACTGTGGTAACTTTAAACTCCTGTTTAACCCCAATCTATAGAATGAAACCGCAAAGAGATGAGGAACTCAAAACAATTCTTCAAATTAGAAAATCTGATACAAATTCCTCCTCTACTTCATCACTAAGAAAATCAAATCATCTGGAGGGGCACCTGGGTGGCTCAGTGGGTTGAGCACCCGACTTCCACTCGGGTCATGATCTCACGGTTCGTGGGTTCGAGCCCCCATCGGGCTCTGTGCTGACAGCCCAGAGCCTGGAGCCTGCTTCAGATTCTGTGTCTACCTCTCTCTCTGCTCCTGACCTAGTCATACTCTGTCTCTGTCTCTCTCAAAAATAAACAAACATTAAAAAAGAAAGAAAGAAAGAAAGAAAGAAAGAAAGAAAGAAAGAAAGAAAGAA